ATAATGTCATTTGGGAGCCTCTTTCAAGCAGAAGAATAACTATGATTATAAATTGGTACGACTTTGGAAGGGGCTCATGCAAGTGAGCTTAAGCTTCATTGTAGTAAATTGTAGTAACTTCATGTAGTAAATTGCTTCTTCACTAGGAAAAAAACTGTTGAATTAATAGTACTGATGGAACAAGGCATTTTGAAAGTCAAAGATATGCCCATATATGGTGGGGTCCCATGGGTGGGGTCCCAAAGGAAGGCAGCTTTTCATAGGGCAAAGGATTCCTGTGGTGGCTAGTGGGTGGGCTCCTGGAGAGAGATGAAGGGGAGTAAGGAGGGATGGATGGAGAAGGTGGAAGGGTATTCAGATTCCCTCCTGATCCCACAACTGCTCTTGAATCTTACAGAGAGAGACTATAGGCAGAAGCAGGAGCAGATTTCATGAGATCTCCATAAAGTTCTTAAGCTGAAGCAAAGTTGTGACAGGTCTATGGACACAAAGTTGGGAGGAAGGATAGGGTTTCTTTCCTGGAGTAAGAAGCTGAGATGGGGATTCTAGAACAAGTGATTTATTGAGGAAGTGCTCTTGGAGGAGCATAAAGGAAGGGAATGAAGCGGGCCAGGATAGGGCAAGATGCTCAGCAGGGATGTGGTCTCATCTGGGCTCTAACTTCAGTGTGATCTCAAGGGAAACTATGGGGTATAAATGGATCACAGAGCTGTCTCCAATGTACCTCTGTATCAATCAGTTCTTGGGAGAGCTTGAAGTATAATCTCCCAGGGGTCACCCATCAGCTGAAGGCAAGTCTCAGGAGAAAGGGGCTGCATTTCAGCAGCAGATGGGTGCACTAGCCCAGGAAGAGAGAATCTGGGTGGAACACCCACAGAATCTACTACAAGGGTCCTTCCCCAATTTCTGCAGGATACCCAAATATAGTGTGGCCTAGTGTTTTAGTCAGATTTTGTGCTGCTGTGATAAAAGGACCCTACCAGAACAACTGTAAAATAGGAAAGGTTTCTTTAGGGCCTCACGGTTTCAGAGGTCTCAGTTCATAGACAGCAGGCTCCTTCCTCAGGGATTGATGTGAGGCAGGACATCTTGGTGGAAGAGTGTAGCAGAGGGAAGCAGCTCATATGATGATCAGAAAGCAGAGAGAGTGAGACTCCACTTGCCAGATACAAAATATACCCCAAACCACACCCCCAATGTCCACCTCCTCCGCCATACCCTACAAGCCTTCAGTTACCATTACCACTCAATTAAACCTATCAGGGATTAATTAACGGATTGGTTTAAGGCTCTTGCAACCTAATCATTCCCCCTCTGAACCCTCTTGCATTGTCTCACATGTGAGTTTGGGGGGACACCTCACATTCAAACCATAACATTCTGCCCCTGGTCCCCCAAGGCTCACATTCAACTGACAATGCAAAATTCATTTAGTCCATTCCCAAGAGTCACCATAGTTTCAACAATTCCAAGGTTGCTCAAAGTTCAGGTCCAAAGCCTTCTCTGAGGCCCAAGGCAATCTCGCATTGTGAGCTCCTGTAAAATTAAAAGCAATTTATAGGTATACAATATATAAAATAGGGGTATAGAAAGAAGGGATGGGACCAAAGGACCAAAGCAAGACTCAAATCCAGCTAGGCAAACAAGTCCTATAGTTCTGTGCCTGGCATCTCATCATGATGTCCTCTCCAAAAGGCTTGTGTAGTTCTGTCCCCGTGGCATTGTTTGTTGCCCCTCCCCAAGTGGCTATTCTGTTGGCTTGTCTCTGCTTGATTCCTATAGCGTTCCTAGGTTGATGTCCCACATTACTTGCATTTCTTAATCTTGAGGGTCTCCTGCAGCACTCCTCCTCACATCTCCACACTGTGCTCTCCAGGGCTGCCCACAGGGATTCTGACCCTGGGGCATTTTGCCTGACCTCCCAGGCCTTCCTTTGAAATCTAGGAGGAAGTCTCCATGACCCCCTAGCTCCAGTATCCTGCAATACTGTACATCTAGCACCACGTGGTTGATACCAAGGTCTGTTGCCATCTCAAGCAGTAGCCAAACCTCCAGGAACCCTGGCTGCAGCAGCCTCTGAATGCCTGGGTATCTGAGCATGTTGAAAAAACTTCCTAGTGCAAGAGAGTGCCCCACTGGTCTCCTCTCCAGAGAATTTTCACTTTTATTCCTTTGAGCTTGAGGTGAGCATGGTCTTGCCAGCTCCTGAGATGTCCTCAAGCCATCTTTCTTGTTATCTCTAGGCAAAGTCTTTAGCATTTCTTCAGTGGTGGTAATGTCTTTAACAACTGCAACTTCCTTAGCCCTAGTTTTGCTCTGGCCTTTCAAGTCCACGTTTTCCAAATCTTTCTGCTCCTGATTATTACAATCAATTTGGCTAAGAGCTGCCAACAATATCAGTGCCACCGCCTGAATGCTATGCTGCCTAGAAATTTCTTCTGCCAGATTAATAAGTCTATTGCTTTTAAAATCAGCCTCACAGAAAGTCTCAGGACATGGGCAAAATGCAGACAACTTCTTAGCCAGATTATAACAGGAATGTCCTCCAGTCCAATTATCAATAGTGTCCTCCTTTTCCTGTAAACCCTATTGAGTCCTGTTTTCACTGTCCACAGCCCTATTGGCATTTTGGTCATGTACAAATTATAACATCTAGGATTGGCAACTTCAGGGGGGATGAATGGATGAAATTTAGGAGGGACCACATGCTGGTACTCAGGATAGTTTAGCAGGGGCCATGGTGAGGTGCTGCCCCCATGTGGCTTCTAAGTACTTGTCTTTCTAGAAAGGGACTTGGGTTAAGCTCATCTGAGATACCCTAGGTACTTCCAGAAATAACTGGGAAAAACCAAGGGGCTTGGGAGCACCTGTAGCCCAGAGATACAGGCAAAAAACCTATAAAGTGTGTCTTTTTCCTGTTAGTGCAAACTCATCTGTGAACATGGACTGGTGGGTCCTTCGGGAACTCTGGGCATGTGTGGGAAAGGGCTTTGCCAACTCTGAAGTGCAGAATGATTTCCGAGGCCATTTATATGAGCAGTTGGGAGGTATTTCCCGGAACTGTGGAAGGATCAAAAACTCACTCCAGTTTGGCCATGGCCTAGTGGTTGGTCCGTGGAGTCAAGAGAGAATGGCAGCTGGGTGAAACCAGGGTCTTGTACCTTATACCCATACCCTATTGTCAAAGACAGTTATTTGCCTTTGGTGAGGTGAGTCTTAGAATAAAATAACTGGAACTTGCCAATGGTATAGGTAGGAGCATAAAATGGTATAACTACTTTAGAAAACTCTTTGGCAACATTTTATAAACATATGCTTATCAGCTATGATCCAGCTATTGTAGACCTGGGTGTTTACCCAAGAGAAATGAAAGCACATCACATTAATCATCTACTGCTGTGTAACAAATTACCACCAAATTAGCAACTTAAAACAATAAAAAATATTTCTTATCCTCACAATTTCTGTGGGTCAGAAATATAGGAGCTGCTCAGCTGGATGATCCTCTTGGATGTCTTTTGTAAAACTGCAGTGAGCTGGTCCACATGAAGTTTTGATGGAGCTCGGTCTGTTTCCATGGTGGCTCCCCCACACATGGGCAAGAAAGTGCTGACTGGATGGATAGATGCTTCAGTTCTTCACCAAGAGAATGTCCCCAAAGGGCTGCTTGACATGACAAGTGGCTTCTTCCAGAGCAAGTGATCCGAGAGCAATGCAGAAGTTGCAAAGATTTTTGTGACACAGGCTTAGAAGCCTCACATCTCTGTAATATCCTACTGATGACACAGACCTGCTGTATCCAGTGTTGGAGGGAACTATACCAGGTCATGAATACTAGGAGGGAAGGATCGTGGTGACCATGTGGGAGGTTGATGACCACAGGGATAATGCAGCCATGCCTCCTCCATCCTGCACAGATCCACATGCGCACCTTTGGAAACTTGCCATTCTGATGCTTGAGTTGTTAGTCTCTCTGGAAGAGCCCTGTGGGAGTTTTGGTTCCAGAGAAGGCCTAATAGCACCAGTAGCAGCTGAAGGCTATCATGCTCAGCAAGAGGCTGTACAGAGGAGCAATGGCCAGGCTGGAGTGCATTTGTTCCTGAGTGAATATAAACTTGCTCCAGGTGCCAGCTATGGTGCTCACTGTGGCTTGGTGCAGATTAATTAGACCCAATGGGAGGAAATCTCCTGCTGATGAGATCACTAAAGAAACTGCTTTGTCTTCATTTTTATATCCTCTGAAACAAGGGCCCAAGACCCTTAAGGCTGCCTCTCAGCTTCTGTGTCAAAGTTGAGTGGATGCAGAAGTGCTATGATGAAAAGGCATCTCCACATTGAGGGTTTGCCTTTTTTTTTTTTTTTAATCCTGAAATCTACCTGGCAGAGAAGTGAGCGTGTGATCGATCTCCTCTGTGCCATGAAGTTGGGGCAATGTCAGTTCCAAATTGTGGCCCTATAAGGACCTTTATTATCTGGCCATATGCTTTGTAAATAGGTCACTCCGACTGAGCTGGCAGAGAATTTTGATTGCTGGATCTTTGGCTGAGCGCATAGGCCAACAGATCCTAATTCTTCTACGCCAGTTCCACCAGTTCAGCTTCTAGTCTGGGAGCATTGTGTGGTGGGGGAATGTCTGTCCCCTTTCCATCTTTATGTTCTGTGCCAGGAGATGGAGGCAGGGAAGCAAGACATATACTTAATCTCAAAGTCAGCCTCATAAATGAATTTTGGATCCTCAATAAATTGATTTTGAATCAATGCAGAAATTTAGGGGCTGCTCTTATTATTATTATTATTATTATTATTATTATTATTATTATTATCACTATAGCCCACGTTTCTTTGGGACATAGATGAAGAGAAGCACTAGCACTTTAAAGAGAAAGCCAGGTTTGCACAGCAATGCAAATTGCATGCAAATGAATCTGCAAAAGTGAACTTGGGACTCAGAGGCAGAGGATTTGGATGAACTCAAGAGTTTTCATGCCAGTTTGCCCAATCCTGAATCATGGTTCCCTGCTGGAAGTGAGAAGAGGAACTACAGCTCTAGAATTTCTATAAAGGAGGGCTAGGAGGGGGGTGAAATCTCACTAGAAAGGTAGGAAGCTGTGGAGAGTCACCAAGCTGACCTGGGAACTGTACACTTGATATTGATTGTGTATTTATTAGAAGATGGCTTTGACTCTGAGTTTTCTATCTACAATACATTAATGTGACAGCAGGAATCAATTTAACAACCTCCTTACAATTCTTTGCCTCTTTCTGATTTGATTATTTGCTTTGGAATTTTGTAAACCACTTATTATGGTTCAGATATGAAGTGTCCCCCAAAGCTCATGTGTGAGACAAAGAAATGTTCAGAGGTGAAATGATTAGATCAAGAGAGCTGTAACCTTATTAGTGGATTGATCTGTTGGGGGGCTGCCTTGTTCAGGAGCTATGCACACACCTTTAAGTCCTGAGTAAGAGGTACAGAACTGGTATTGCACTCTGCAATGCAACTGTACTTTACCTCTGCTTGGATAAGAAAGGTGTGGCTCTGGGAGTGAGTGTCACCCAATGGGATTGAATTACACCCATCTTTTTGTTGTAATCCTACCCTTCTGCCCTTTTTTTGGATAGAATGTTCCATGGATTAGCTCCCCCCATTAATAAAACCTGGGTTCAAGGTGTGCTCCCTCTCTTTCTTGCCTGTCTTGACTCCTTGGTGGGAGCTGGGTCATAGGGCCCATCACTGAACACAAAGTAAAAGGTACTTCTCTGTCTGTGTGTCATTATTTCATGCCAGCCCAATTCTCCTGGAGTGACCCTGACTGGTTTATTTGTGTGTCACCGCATTGATCCAGTCATATGGATTAACTGGGTGGTAACTCTAGGCAGGTAGGAGTGGCTGGAAGAAGTAGATCACTGGTGGTATCCTTTGGAGTTTATATATATATATATATATTTTTTTTTCCCTAGGGAGCAGAGCTCTCTCTGCTCGGATAGCTGCAGATTCAAGAAACCCTGTGTCTCCTGAAAGACTAGGTATCTTCAAAGGACCTGAAACTGAACAGCTCTGAGATGGAGCTCATGGTCCTCCAAAATCCAGTTCTCTTCAGTACTCCATCATTTTGAAAAGGATGACCCTATCCAAGGTCACCTCCTGAAGTTACCCCCCACCCCCATGCAATCTATTTCTAAGGCTTGAATCCTCCATCTCAAAGTTCTTGACTGTTTTAGTGGCTCTTATTCTACCTACCACTGCTCTATACCCTAACTCTTCCAATCTTCATACAGAAGTCATGATTATTTATGTTCCCATTCTGAGCAATAACCTAGCTATGTGACACTGGGAAAGTTGCTGCCTCTTCCTGGGTCTTAGTTCTTTGTTGATCACAGGAGAACCTGCTGTAAAGACTTATCAAGGATAGGCACAGGTTAATTTCTGTGGTGTCATGAGCCCATGGGGCTAGCTGTGTTCTGGATAGAGAGAACAATGATGGGGTAGGGGGACCCCATCAGTTTTTCTTCTCATGGGATCCTTCAACTTCTAGATTTTATATGATGATTTTTTCCCCTATTGAGGATTGAACCCAGGAATGTTCTGCCAATGAATTACATTCCAGCCCTTTTTATATTTTATTTTGAGGCAAGGTCTCTCTAAGTTGCCAAGGCTGGCCTTGAACTTGCAATCCTTCTTTCTGCCTCAACTTCCTAAATTGCTAGGATTACAGATGTGCACCACCATGCCTGGCTCATATAAGGATTTTTAAAAAGCTTTTTATTTGGAAGTATTAGAGATTTACAGAGTGTTAAAAAGGTAATATGGAGAGATTCCATGTCCCTCTCACCCAGTTTCTTTCCGTGGTTACATCTTACATAATTATAACCATTATAAGCATCTTTCCATGTGCTTATTTGCTATTCTATATCTTCATTAATGAAATGTCTTTTTCCATTTTCTAATTGGATTATGATATAGCACAGTGTCAAAACTAGAAACTGACATTGATACAATGTGTGTGTACATGGTTCTGTTATTTTATCATTTACATAAGCTTGTGTAACTACCACCCCTTTTAAGATACCCTTGTCACATCCACCTCTCTCCCTACCATCCCTAACCCCTGGCAACCACTAAAGTATTCTCTACATTTTTTTTTTCATTTTGACAATGTTATATAAATGGAAGAATACAGTATATGACATTTTGCAATGTTTTCTCTCTTTCAGAACCATACCCTTGAAATCCATCTGGGTTGTTGTATGTATCAACAGTTTCATTTTTGAGTAATAATCCATGGTCTGAATATACCACAGTTTGTTCAGCTGCTCATTTATTGTAGGACATTTTGGTTGTTTCCATTTTTTTTTTTTTTGCTATTATAAAGCTGCAGTGAACCATCATTAACAGGTTTTTGTGTGGTCATAACTCTTGATTTCTCTGGGATCAGTGCCCAGAAGTGCAATTGTTGTGTGGTTAAGTGTATATTTAGTTTTTTAAGAAACCATCAAACTGTTTTCCAGAGTAGCTCTACCATTTTACATTTTCATTAGCAATGTTTGAGAGATCCAGTTTCTCTATATCCTCTTAAGCATTTGGTATTGTCACCATTTTTTATTTGAGCAGTTCTAGGAGTTATGTAATATATCTTATCATGGTCTTAATTTGCAGCTCCCTGAAGGCTCATGATGTTGAGCATCTTTCTGTGTGCTTATTTGCCATCATATATCCTTGTTGATGAAATGTCTCTTCAGGTCTTTTTCCCATTTTCTAATTTGATTATGATTATGATTATTTTATTTTATTTTATTGTGGTACTGGGGATTGAACCAAAGGCCTCACACATGCTGGATAAATGCTCTATCAGTGAGCCACATCCCTAATCACACTTCTTTTTTAATCTGTTGAGTTTTGAAGTTATTTATACCTTCTGATATGTGTCTTTTGTCAGATACGTGGTTTACAAATATTTTCTTCTTCATGGCTTGTGTTTTCACCTTTTCCACAGAATATTTTTGTAAAAAAAAGTTATTCATTTTAGTGAAGTTTGATTTATTAATTAATTGTAGGGATCATGTCCAAGGTCTTGATGACTTTCTCCTAGGTTCTCTCCCCAAGTTTCATAGTTTTACACTTCTCTACAATCCATTGTAAATTCCTTTTTGTGTAAGACATGAGATTTAGGTTTAGGTTTGTATTTTTGCCTCTGAACGATCCTTCCTCCACTGAATTGCTTTTGCTCCCCTGTCAGAGATCAGGAGGCTGTGCTTGCATAGACCCGTTTCTGGATTTTCTATTCTGTGTCATCGATCCACATTTTCTATTCTGTGTCTATTCTTCCACCAGTGACTCACCATTTTAATGACAATGGCTATATTATTAGGACTTAATATTGATTAGTTTTTCCTTCCACTTTATTATTCTTTCTCATCATTGTTAATTCCTCTCCGTATAAATTTTAGAATAATCTTATCTATCCAAAAAGTCTTGTTGGGATTTTGATAGGAATTGTGTTAAACCTGTCTATCAATCGGAGAAGAATTGATTTCTTTACTATGGTAAGTCTTCCAATCCATGAATATTTATGACTCTCCAGTTGTTTAGATTTTCTGTAATTTCTTCTTTTTTATTTTTAATTTTTTTAAGTTGTTACTTTTTATTTATTTGTATGTGGTGCTGAGAATTGAACCCAGTGCCTCATGCTTGCTAGGCAAGCGCTCTACCACTGAGCCACAACCCCAGCCCTGTAATTTCTTCTTTAATCAGTATTTTATAGTTTTCAGTATGTAAGACCTGTACATGTTTTGTCAAATTTACACTTACGTATTTATTTTGAGCAATTGCAAATGGTATTGTATTTAAATTTTGTTTCTCATGTGTTCCATTGCTAGTGTATAAAAATAAAATTAATTTTAAACTAGGCATCATGGCGCATGCCTGGAAAACCAGCTATTCAGGAGGTTGAGGCAGAAAGATCATTTGAGTCTACAAATCTGAGATCAGCCTGAGCAACCTAGTGAGAACCTCATCTCAAAAAAAAAAAAAAATATATATATATATATATACACACACACACACACACACACACAAAATTTTTATTTGTTGATCTTGTATCTTTCAATCTTGCTGAACTCACTTAGTAGTTTTTTATTTATTTATTTATTTTTTGGTAGATTCCTTGAGATTTTCTACACAGACAATCATGTGATCTGCAAAGAGAGGGCAGTTTTATTCTCTCCTTTCAAATCTGGTATGTTTTATTTCCTTTTCTTGACCTTTTGTGCTGGCCAGTTTTTCCAGTACTATGTTGAATGGCCATGGTAAGAAGGGACATCCTTGCCCTGTTTTCTGATCTTGGCAGAAAAGCATCGTCATGAAGCTGACTTGGGAATTAACATGCATACCTTCCAGGTGGAACCTTTCCTGCCTTGGCAATGGAGGAAGCATGGAGATGGAGCCTCCCTTTGCAGGATTCCTGAGTGCAGAAGCCACAAAACAAAGAAACCACAATCCTGCACCTCACCCCACTTACCCAGTTGACATGCAATGGTCATGCAACATGAGAAAGAAATAAATCTTTGTTGCTTTAATCACCTGGTGTGTGTGTGTGGGGGGGGAGGGGATGCACTATCTTTCACCACTAAATATGATGTTAGCTATTGTTTTTTCATAGATGTGCTGTATCAAATTGAGCAAATTCCCCTTTGTTCTCGATTTTTAAAGAGTTTTTATCATGAATGAATTAAAAAAAAAACAGTTTTTGTAGATGGATTGTAGATGGACCCAACACCTTTATTTTATTTAGTTTTTATATGGTGCTGAGGATCAAACCTAGTGCCTTGCACATTCTAGGCAAGTGCTCTACTACTGAACCACAACCCTAGCCCTCATGAGTGAATTTTGAGTTTTGTCAAGGGCACTTTCTGTGTCAATTGATATGATTTTTTTTCCTTAGCCTCTTGATGTGAGGGATTATTTTGGATTACATTAATCGACTTTTGTAAACTGAACCAGCCTTTCATTTCTGAAATAAACCCACTGGATCATTATATATGTGTACACACATGGAGTCATGTGTTACTTAACGATAGGGATACGTTCTGAGAAAGGTGTTGTTAGGTAATTTCATCCTTGTGCAAATATAATAGCATGTACTCACACAAACTAAGATGGTCATGATGTCACTAGGCAATATAATCTTATAGGATCACTATTGTTTATGTAGTCTGTTGTTGATTGAAATGTTGTTATGCAGTATAAATGTATGTGAATATATATGAACTCTATTTGTTAATATTGCTAGTACTTTCTTAAAGATATTTTTATTTATATTCATGAGGGATATTGGTCTATAGTTCTTTCTTTTTATTTTTTCTTTCTTTTTGGTACATGGGATTAAACCCAAAGATTCTTTATCACTAAGCTACATGCCCAGCCCTTTTTATTTATTTATTTTGAGATATGTTCTCACTAAGTTGCTGAAATTGGCCTCCAATTTGAGATCCTCTTTTTTGATTGAACTCAGGGGCACAGAGCCTTATTTTGTATTTTATTTAGAGACAGGATCTCACTGAGTTGCTTTGTGCCTCGTTTTTTGCTGATGCTGGCTTTGAACTCATGATCCTCCTGCCTCAGCCTCCCAAGCTGCTGGATTACAGGCATGTGTCACCTCACCTGGCTTGGGATCTTCTTGATAATGTTGGGTACAGTGTTCCATAAATGTCAACTAGATTCTGTCATTTGATGGTATTATGGAAATCTTCTATATCCTTGCTGCATTTCTAGATGTTCTATCAATTGTTGAGAGAGAAATGTTGAAGTCTCCAACTATAATGGTGCATTTGTCAGTTTCTTCTTTCAACTTGATCAATTTTTGCTTCATGTATTTTATAGCCTGTTGTTTTGTGCACACATATTTAGGATTGCTATGTCTTCTTGGATTGACCATTTTATTATTTATGTTCTTTTTTATTTTTATTTTTTCCTTACAGGTAATATATGTCATTTATTTCTGCTTTCAATATTTTTTTCTTTAATTTTAGAAGTTTGGCTATGACATGTGTTGATTTGGATTTGTTGATTTAATCCTGTTTGAGGTCACTCAACTTCTTGAACCTGTAGGTTCACATCTTTTGCCAAGTTTGGGAAATTTTCAGCCATTATTTCTTCAACTACTTTTTGAGATGTGCCCTCTTCTCCAGCTGGAATTCCAGTGATACAAATGTTAGATCTTTTGTTAAGAGTCCCACAGAACAGGCTCTGTTCATTTTTTTTTTTAAATCTATTTTCTCTGTCATTCAGGTTAGGTGACATAATTGCTTTCTTTTCTTTTTTTTTTTTTAATTTTTTTAGTCGTCAGTGTACCTTTATTTTTTATTTATATATGGTGCTGAGAATTGAACCCAGTACCTCACACATGCTAGGCAAGTGCTCTACCACTGAGCTACAACCCCAGCCCCAAATTGCTTTATTTTCAAGCTTACCAATTCTTTACTTTGTCATGTCTGTTCTGCTGTTCAGCCCATCTTTTGAGTTTAAAAATTTTAGATACTTGGGAGCTGGAATTGTGGTTCAGTGGTAGAGCATTTGCCTGGCATGTGTTGGGCACTAGGTTTGATTCTCAGCACTGCATATAAATAAATGAAAAAAAAAGTCCATCAACAACTAAAAATATATATTTTTAAAAAAATTTAAATTCTATATTTTTGGTCTTAAAATTTCTACTTGGTTCTGTTTCTTTGCTGATACCAAGACAGTCCAGACTTTTTTTTTTCTTTTTTGGTACTGGGGATTGAACTTAGGGATGCTTAACCCCTGAGCCACATCCCCAGACCATTTTATATTTTATTTAGAGGCAGATCTTGCTCATTTACTTAGAGCCTTTCTAAATTGCTGAGGCTGGTTTTGAACTTGTTGTCCTCTTGCCTCAGCCTCCCAAGCAGCTGGGATTACAGGTGTGCACCATCATGCCTAGCTCTCCCCAGACTTTTTATTGTTTTGTTTGTTTATTTATTGTTTCAAGTGTTTGCAATTGCTCATTGAAGCATTCTTATGATGTCTGTCTTGTAGTTCTTTTTTTAAAAAAAATATATTTTTTAGTTGTTGATAGACCTTTATTTTATTTATTTATATGTGGTGCTGAGAATCAAACCCAGTGCCTCACACATGTCAGGCAAGTGTGCTACTGCTGAGCCCCAGCCCCGGCTCTGTTTTGTAATTCTTACCAGATGATTCTAATGCTGGTGTCTCCTTGGTGTTGGCATCTGTGGATCATCTTTCCTCAAGTTGAGCTTTCTCTAGTTCTTGGTTTGATAAATCATTTTCAGTGAAAACCTGAACATGTTGGCATTCTGGTTGCTATGAGAACTTAGAGCTTGTGTTTTCTTTTGTCCCTAGGGGCACAATACCACTGAGGGGGTTGAAACCCAGGGGCACAATACCACTAGCTACACACACCTTCAGCCCTTTTTTATTTGTTCTTTTGAGCCAGGGTCTTGACCAGGCTGGACTCAAACTTGTGAATCCCCCTGTCTCAGCCTCCTGGGTCGCTGGGATTTCAGGAGTGTACCACTGTGCCCAGCGACCTTGGAGCTTATATAACTTTCTGTTTTAGCAGAACTCATGTGACATGCTGCAGTTCAGGAAGGGGTTGCTTCCTTTTTTTTTTTTTTGCCAGGTGGAGTGAAGTTCAGGTTCCTCATTCTGCTTTTGCTGAGGCTCCAGGGTAGAGAGGAACTTCTCAGTACTGGTGGGCAGTGGATACAAATTCAGGCTCCCTGCTGGACTCCACTGATACCATGGTTGGGAAGGGCAGGGGTTAACCCACATATGACTGCCACTGACACAATGGGAGAGACGGGTAGCTTTGTTACTGCTGGGTAGTGGGGAAAGTCCTGAGTGTCCACTAAGCCTCCCCTGAGACCAATCAGCCCAGTGGGGAAGGAGAGGCGTAGAAGTTCCTCATGTGGACTCCGCTGACACCTCTGGGAAGGGGGGATCTCATTGCTGCCTACTGGGATCAAAGTCCTGGCTTCCCTCTGTTTTTTTTTTTTTTTTCCTAATACCAGCCTGGCCAGGAGAGGAGAGGCTAGGTTGCCTCATCATAGCCTGGTGAAGGTAGAAGTCTAGGATCTGCACTTGGCCTTTGATGATGTGGGTGAGAGTAGGGCCACACTTTTATTTATTTATTCATTCATTCTGTGGTATTTGGCTTGACTAGCACAATTATTGTTAAAAGTTTTCCCATCTTGCTAAACTGTCCATCTTGGTCATTTGGCAAAGAAGAGAGGAGACTTTTCTTGGGGTTTATTGTTGTTTCTGGGTTACTGGGTTCTCCTGCACCCTGTCCAGGATATATGAAGCAAACAGGTAAACCCACAGAATTCATTGTTGTGTCATTTCCTGATCCCAAAGCCCCTAGTTGATTTGCCATCTCTCCACTTTCAGATGTTTGTTTTACATGCGGCATCTAGGATTCTTAGCTGTTTTTTTTGCCAGGAGTTGAACTCTCATCCATTGATTTAATCACGTCATGGATGCCTTTAGCTCTATATACAGCAGATGTCTTCTTAGTCCTTCATGGGGACCGGGCACTGGGCTGAGGCCAAAGAGGAGGCACAGATTGACCCTGTCCTCTGGAGCTCACAGCTTTGCCAGGGACACATGGCCGTGCCTCAGGTAAGCTCTGATAGTGAAGGACAGGATGCTATAAAGGGAGAGATTACTCTGGAAAGCTTGATTGGGGGAGAGCTTCCAGGGAATTGAGAATAGAGCTCGGACTCACTTGGCAGGTTTCAGAGAGGAAGAGCAGGAAGTAGCAGTGCTAGGAGTAGAGGTCCCCAGGAGCAGTGGGGATGGCAGGAGGCAGCTGCGAGAGCTGGCCTGGTTGGAACCTAGGACAAAGTGAGTGAGCTTTGAGGGTGCATTTTGGCCCCAGATCCCTGCAGAGAGTCTTGATAGGTTCTTCCTCAGAAGAGAATTTGGAGGCTGGTGTTAAAGCAAGCATCAACAATGGTATAGCATACGGGGTGTGGTGATGCACACTTGTAGTCCCAAGTACTTGGAAAGCAGAGGCAGAAGGATGTAAAGTTTGAGGCCAGTTTGGGCAAAACAGCAAGACCTGGTCTCAAAAAAAAAAAAAAAGTGCAGGGATATATGTCAGTGGTAGACCACCCCTGATTCAATCCAGTACTTCCCCCGCTCAAAAAAATAAAAAAAATTCAGCACACACACACACACACACACACACACACCCAGAGCAATGGAATAGGAATCATGTGGGTGAATGATCATGGTGGTTTGGCTGGTACAGTGACCATGGGATGGAGAAGAAGGGTACAGAATCCACAGAATCCAGAGGAATGTAGGAGGCAGAATTGATGGGTACCTGGATAGATGGGGGAGAGGGAAGGATTGGATATGACATCAGGATTTCCAGCTATGATGTCAGGAGAAGGATGGGGCCATTAACAGAGAAAAGCGAGGGAAGGGAACCAACCTCTGGAAGAAGATGAGATTTTGAGCATGA